GAAAGCTGCTGAAACTGCTGAAAGCTGCTGAAAAAACTGCTGAAAGCTGCTGAAACTGCTGAAAGCTGCTGAAAAAACTGCTGAAAGCTGCTGAAGAAACTGCTGAAATCTGCAGAAAAAGCTACTGAAAGCTGCTGATGAAACTGCTGAAAAAACTGCTGAAAACACTGCTGAAACTGCTGAAACTGCTAAAAAAACTGCTGAAAGCTGCTGAAGAAGCTGCTAAAAAACTGCTGAAAGCTGCTGATGAAACTGCTGAAAAAACTGCTGAAAACACTGCTGAAACTGCTGAAACTGCTAAAAAAACTGCTGAAAGCTGCTGAAGAAGCTGCTAAAAAACTGCTGAAAGCTGCTGATGAAACTGCTGAAAACTGATGAAAAAATTGCTGGACGCTGTTGAAGAAGCTGCTAAAAAAACTGCTAAAAAAACTGCCGAAAGTTGCTGAAAAAGTTGCTGAAGAAGCTAAAACTGTTTAAAAGCTAAACTGTTAGTGTAAGTTCAATTTAAACAGCTGACATTTGTTGCAAGTCAGGAAAAAAGAAAATGTGAAAAATCAGTAGAAGTATCATAGCAAAGATGTGTCAAAAAAGCTGAACAGGGCCAAAAAGTAGCTAAAAAACAGAAAAAAGATGGATTTAGCTGACAGATGGTAAAAAGAACAAAAAAAGTTCACTTTAGTAGTAAAAGAAGTACAAAAAGATGCTTTTGGTGATAATATAGCTAAAAAGTAGCTGAAAAGCTGAAATTAGCACAAAGATGCAGAAACAGTATGTTTGCTGAATTAAGCAGTAAAAAGCTGATATTATTGCAAAAGTGTGAAGTTAGTAATAAAAAGCTAAAATTAGTTTGCTAAAATCAGTGAAAAGTAGCTTAAAATGCAGAAAACAGCTTAAATTAGCATGAAAATGCAGAAAGATATCTGATATAGCAGATAAAAAGCTAAAATTAGCGAAGAGAAAAACCAAAAGCCTCAGATTTTAAGACAGGAAGTTCGTCTTTCACCTGATTCAGAACCACCCAGTTCGGATCAATCTGGGCGTCGCCCTCGGGGTCCAGGATCACGGTCTGGTAGGCCCTGAAGTCCGTGAGCGTGACCTCGGCGCTCTCTGGACACGCGTCCACCTGGTCCAGCACCGCGTCGTTATCGAAGTCGTTCTCACAGACGTCTCCGACGCCGTTGGCTGAGGACACACAGAATCAGACGGGGGCGGAGCTAGACGTTGTTACAAGGGGGTGGGACAGGTTGGCCAGGGTGTTTTTTAGGCGGGTACGCATTATTAGATAAAACTACCCTAGATTTGGAAATTCAAGATGGCTGCCACAGCTAATTTCAAATGGCTCTAACACTAACTGTTTTAGGATATTTTGGCTGTGTCCAAAACGGTGGGCTGAGTCCTCCGAAGGCCGAATTCGTCGGCCGCATACGTCAGCGCCGCGACGAAGGCCGTCCAAAACCGAAGACTCCTCCGATGTGGCCGACAAATACGTCCTTCCTTTGGCCCGAATCGAAGGACAGGTCTGATGGATCCTTCCCGGCCCACCATATCCCATAATGCATTGCGGCCCGACCGGAGATTTTTTTTATGCTAGTAATGGCGTACGAAGCGAGACAAAAGAATACGTTTTAAATAAAAATATGGCGATATAAAATTTAAATTTTTTTTAGCGGTTGTAATTGTAACACTTTTGTCATTTGTATAAACGTGGTTTTAAATATTATTTTTGTCCTAAAAAACGCAAAATAAACATGAACCTACATCGGGTCTATTAGTTCTTCAAATGTTACCTTTAAGTTAATTTTATAGTTTTGTGATATTAATAATGATAATATATTGATATTTTTCTAGTTTTGATTTATATTTGCTTGTTTAGCATCGTCAGAGTTGCTAGGTGACATGATGTAAGGACGGGAGGCTAGACCGTCCAAACTCACAGCCTCTTTTTTTCCGGTCTTCCCTGTCTACCAAGGACCCAGGCCACCTCGATCGGGTAGTCTGGGTCCTCCGGAGGACCCAGCCTGTCGTTTTGGACACAGCCACTGAGCTGAAATTTTGTGTGATAGTAGCTAAAACATGCTGAATGCTAGTCTCAATTTAAGCTAACCGCTTATGCTAATTTCACAAGAAGCTGTAGCTAATTTAGACATTTTTAGCCAAATAAAATCTTTACCAAATTCTAAATGCTAATCACAAATTCAAGCTAGCCATCACTGCTAATGTTAAATGGCTAGAATTGAGGTATTTTAAGACTTATTGTGCTAGAATTTTTTGAACGATTGCTAGTAATAATATAAGCTAACTGCTAACGCTAAGTTTATAAACACATATAATTTAGCCACTAATTACACAGCTGAGTGTGTAGATAATAATAGCCAAGATTAATATTTAACATCTGAATGTAAATATAAAATCCAAGATGGCCTCCTGTTGATTTCCAACAGTTAAAACTCTGACATTTTTCAAAAATACTGAGCCGAAGCTCTGGACTTGGGGTTCTGCTCTCGGTACCGTCGGAGTCCTTCTGGTTGGGGTTGATGATCAGTCTGCAGTTGTCGAAGTCGTCGAGGACGCCGTCGTTGTCGTCGTCGTGGTCGCAGTCGTCTCCGAGGCCGTCGTTGTCCGAGTCCAGCTGGGAGCTGTTGGGGATGTCGGGACAGTTGTCTCTGGTGTCCTGGTGTCCGTCCCCGTCCCTGCAGAGGACCAGAAGACCTTTAAACACCAGCAGACTGAGGACAAACTGAGGGGCGGGGCTACTGGGTACAACGACAGAATCCGCTGAGTCACTGGTTTTCATGGTGATTACATCATCTGTTTAAACCTTCCTGAGTGTCTGGACCTCATCAGAACCAGGTGGTGACTCTGTTTGGACCTCAGCAGACCTTATGAGGACCTAAACCCTGGTGTTCTGTGGTTCTGGTTTGGGTCTTGACCCAGGTTCTGGTGGTACATGTGTGTCAGACATACGTGTCCTGGTTGGTGTCACAGATGTCTCCCACCAGGTCGTTGTCCACGTCCGTCTGAAAGAAAGACACAAAGAAAGTCTATGAGCTCTGACCTGACCGGTTCTGGCTCTGGTTCTGACAGGACCGGTCCAAAAGATCCGACCCACCTGCATGGGGTTGCTGAGTTCAGGACAGCTGTCGCAGGCGTCTCCGACTCCGTCCCTGTCTCTGTCAGTCTGCATGGGGTTCGGGACCTTTGGACAGTTGTCCAGAACGTTGGGAATACCTGAAGACAGACTGGGTTTTGGTTTTACTGAGCCAGAGGACAAGTCCTGGTCCTTAAGACACATGGACATGTCTCAGTCCATCAGAGGGACACCTGGACATGTCTCAGTCCATCACAGAGACACATGGACATGTCTCAGTCCATCACAGAGACACATGGACATGTCTCAGTCTATTACAGAGACACCTGGACATGTCTCAGTCCAACACAGACACATGGACAGGTTAGCTGCAGGCGTCTCACAGCAAAGTTGGACATTTTCATGTCTCAGGAACTAAAAGTGGACATGTTTCATCAGATTTGATAAAAATGTGAGAAACTTTTAGATTTTTAGAGAAATAATCTAACGTTACTCCAAACTTTGTTGGAGCTCTGAGACCAGAAGTCTGACTGTTGGGACCAGAATCCCTGGTTTGTGTCTCACCGTCTCCATCGATGTCCTGGTCGCAGGCGTCTCCTTGTCCGTTGTTGTCCGTGTCTTTCTGATCGCTGTTGGACACGGTGGGACAGTTGTCGCACGAGTCTCCGAACGAGTCACTGTCCGAGTTCTGCTGGTCTTTGTTGGGGACTAAACGACAGTTGTCCTGAGAGACAGAGGACACAGGTCACAGGATGTCCTTGTGCTGCCCGTAGCCACGGCAACAACCCAACTCTGACCTCCACGTTTTTGATGCCGTCTCCGTCTGCGTCCTCATCACACTGGTCTCCGATCCCGTCGTTGTCGGCGTCCTCCTGACCGGAGTTGGGTGTGAGGACACAGTTGTCCTGATGGACAAAGACAGACAATCATCACCATCATCATCATCATCATCATCATCATCATCATCATCATCATCATCATCATCATCATCATCATCATCA